GGCTACAGCGCTTGCCTGAGTGTGTGTGTGGTCACGTGATGTGCGTTTTCAGCGTTTTGGTGTGGACGGAGAGCAGTTCAGAAACGCTGGGTGAAACGCGAGTGTGGACGCGGATCGTTTTCATTCTAAAACGCCGTTTTAAAAACTAAAACGCACTAGTGTAAACGGGGCCACAGTGTGAAAGTATTTGTAAATTTGACTGTAACATTACATTGCTTTGGTCTTGGTTGAGCTTGTTTGTAAAAGAAGTTCAAGCATTGGAAATTAGTGTTAACTGGATGCATTTTGTATCAAAGCAAAAAGAATAGTTTTTTAGCCTACAAAGACGGATGTTGTGCTAATTGTGTTGAGAGTTTTGGAAACTTGTTAAATGTATTGAAAAAACTGTCACAGCGATTGTAGAGAAAACTAGAGTGCTTGTCAGATATATGAATATGTTTAATACACAGCTTAGTACTGGAATATGCACTTTATTTTAAATTCAATTAATGTTACATTTTAATCTGCTTTAATCTTAATCTGAATTTTAATCATTATTCTTACTGGATAATGGAAAGCATTTTGTCAGCATCCTTGTTGTCAATTTATTAAAGTATATGAATTTAATTATTCATATACTTTAATAATGCAGGCTAACATACTCAAAATAGTAGATTAGAAAAGAAAACTTTTCAGACTCATCTAGATTTGTGTTTATTAAAAGACATCGTTTTTTTTTTTCTGTGTAGGGGTAAGACACAAGACTTTTGCGAATAAGAATTCTGAGGTAAGTGGCTCCTCTCTGTTGTTCAGCAAAGATGCAGGACACAGTAAAAAGGATTCTCCAGTTGACAAGTCTCTTAGCGTGCACTCAGCTGCTGATTACAGCAATGCCACCTTGACTGAACATGCTATTGGCAACTTCTCAGTTAGTAATGACCTATGTCAAGTTGACACTGCTGTAACGGTGGATATTAATGAGGATCATAGTTATGCAACTTTAAGTTCCACACATGAAACTCCTAAGTTTATTAAAGAGGATCACAGCTAAAACCTTGTGTCTCCGAGATCTTTAAACGGAAAAATCAGGCCACTGACCAAATTCTACAAAAATACAGGAAAAAGCTTAAAATTGAATCCCAAAAGTCTAGGCGTTTAAAAAACAAAATCTCCACCTTAAAGGATGTCGTCACAGAACTCAAGAAGAAGCTGTTGATATCCAATGAATGTGCTTCTTTGCTTGAGTGAATTGATGAAGTGCCAAAGCACATCTTGTTGAAAATACAGCAGGGAAAAAAAAAAGAAAAGTACTCAGAGGAGTTGAAGCAGTTTGCCACAACCTTGCATTTTTATTCCCCAAAGGCATATGACTACGTACGTGACAATTTTCAGAAAGCGCTGCCACACAGTCACACCATTCGAAATTGGTACAGCAGCGTATCAGCTGATCCTGGATTTACTGTGGCATCTTTCACAGCGCTGAAATGTCATGTAGAGGAGAATAAAGAGAGAGGAAAAGAAACAGTATGTGCCCTAATGATGGATGAAATGTATATTCACAAGATGACTGAATTTGCAGGGGACCAGTTTCATGGCTATGTGGACATTGGTACTGGAGAAATTGACAACACGTTGGCTACCCAGGCTTTGGTCCTCATGGTTGTGGCTGTAAATGAGTCATGGAAAATTCCCATAGCATCCTTTCTCATCACAGGTATGGATGGATCAGAGAAGGCCAATGTCATTAGGGAGAGCCTTAGCAGACTTCATGAGGTTGGTGTCAAAGTTATCTCTCTTACATTTGATGCCCCTACGACCAACTTGGCTATGATAAGGGAACTTGGCGCTGACCTAAATATCAACAACATGAAGCCTTACTTCATGCATCCTGAGGACCCTACTCAGAAAGTACATGTGATCCTGGATGCATGCCACATGCTAAAGCTTCTTCGCAATGCCTTTGCATCTTCCCTTGAATTTGAGACAGAAGATGGAAATAAGATTAAGTGGAAGTACATTGAAGCCCTCAATGAACTCCAAGAAAAAGTAGGTCTGCGACTGGGAAACAAGCTGAAGATGGCTCATTTACAATGGCGAAAACAAAAAATGAAAGTCCATCTGGCAGCACAGCTCTTCAGCAGCAGTGTGGCAGATGCTATAGAGTTCTGTGAGCAAGGCTTGAAAATGGAGGAATTCAAAGGTTGTGCTGCAACTGTGCAGTTTTTGCGCACTGTAGATGCAGCTTTTGATGTACTGAACAGCAGAAATCCTCTTGGAAAAGGTTTCAAAGCCCCAATCAAAACAACAACTAAAGATCGGGTTGAGACCATTTTAAAGCAGGCAGAATCCATGCTTCGTGGGTTGAAGGTTCAGGAGTACAACAAGATGGTGCCACTTCACACAACCAAAAAGAAGACTGCCCTATATGGCTTCATTGCTAATGGCAGAAGTGCACTTAACATCTATCATGATCTTGTTGAAAGGCCCAATGCACCATGCAGATATCTTCTTACCTACAAATTAAGTCAGGACCACTTGGAGCTTTTCTTTGCTGCCATAAGAGCAAGAGGTGGTCACAATGATAATCCTAATGCCAGGCAGTTTAGAGGAGCATACAAACGCCTACTTGTAAGGCACCAAGTGAAAACAGGCACAGGGAACTGTTTGCTTCTAGACAACACTTACATGCTCAACTCAACACCTGGATCTGTAAATGTTGCACGAAGATTGGAAGTACAGTTGGTGGAAGTGGACGTGCCCGAGAATGATGCTGTTCCTGACCTCCCTCATGTATGCAGTCTTTCTGAATACAAAGAGGCAGCAATTCATTACATCACAGGATTTGTGGTGAAGAAGATGAAAGAGAAAATCACCTGCTTGCCATGCTCACAGGCATTAACAACTGATGGTGCTGCACATGAATTCATCCATCTAAAAAACAGAGGTGGTCTGCAGAAACCATCACCAGGCATGGTGTCTGTGTGTCTGACCACAGAGAAATGCATTCAGAGAAAGATCACAACTAGTGGAGGTCAGCTTCCCCGTGGACGTGGAATCACACTTGCTATTTCCAATGAGGTGTTAGCAAATTGTGCAGAGAGAGATCTTTTTCCACAACTCCACAGCCACATGTTTGCTACAAGCGTTGAAATGAATCATATTCATTTATTGGTTAAAATGGCATCCATTTGGTATAGCAAAGTCAGATTTAACCACTTTGCAAGAAGGGGAGCTGAAATAGCAAAAGATGGCAAAATGGTTCGCAGACAACTGACTAAATTGATTCATTTTTATGGTGAATAATTTGTTTATTTGTAGTTTTCTATTGTTCTCTTTGCTGCTAATCATTCATGCCTCCTCTGTCTCCTCTGATCTTACTGAAGACTTGCTGCTGCTATTGCTGCTGCTGATTTACAGTCCGCATAAACAGGACTGAATCATTCATAAAAGACACCTTTACTCCACTGATCCTCTTCAAGTTCTGTTGCTGCTGGTAATAATTTACAGTCCTTGTTAACCAGATTAATACATTCACAAAAGACGCCACTACTCCACTGATCCTCTTTAAGTTCTGCTGCTGCTTCTAATGATTTACAGTCCGCATAAACAGGACTGAATCATTCACAGAAGATGCCTCTACTGCTCTGATCCACCTTAATTTTTCCATATTATTGTTTTTAAAATCTGTTTAGTCACACAAAGCACTTCTTAGTAAATAGTTCTTCAGAAATTCAAATAAAATAGGTTTACTGTTAAAATATGTTCTCTCATATATGGTTGTTAGTGTAGTACTATATGAATTTTTTTCTTATGACTATTTTGTTATAAATGCAGTTTGCACTTCCAGTTCCAATTATATTATTGTTCTAGAATAAAAATACTGAAAATACCCTAAAAATAGTATTCCTTTTATTTCAGGTTAAAAATGTTCTTATTTATGTTTCTATAAACGTTGTTTTGTTAATATTTTTGTATATAGTTACATTTTACATGTAGAAATCTGTTTTGTCTCGTCTAAGTTCGTCTTGTTTGTCAAGTTTGTCTTGTCTTGTGTCCCACTCAATGGCCTGCACCTTGACGTGGTGAGTGGGCTTTCTACTAAGATGGGCCACTTTGTTGAAATTCTGTTTGGATCTGGTATGTGAAATATATTTTTTGTCATTCCTACCTTATAGGCTCATTGGGGATAATGAAGAGAGACGAAATAAAAATAAAGGTTAGTTAATTAATAAAGACACTTATATTTCCCTTTCTTGAGGTAATAAAGGAGCATATAAAACTATGAAAATTTTGCAGTATGCCAAAGCCACATATCTACTATGTAGACAGTGTTAGGAAAAAATAATATATTCAAACCTGTCATTCTTCAAGTTTTACTTTTTAATTAATTAATTAATTTAAAAAATTTAAAAATTATGTTATGTTATTTTTGAACTGTACCTGTTTCAACACAGATCAAATTTAAAATTGTTTATTATCTTAATTTATAACCCCACTACCTGTACATATTAGAAATTAGTTTAACTTATTGCAACAGTGCACTTTGTGGCACTTTCAAGTTTTGGTACATGAGCTTTGCAATAAAATGTTTTTCATTAATGCTTTCTTTTGTATTTCCTATACAGAACCTACCCAAGATGCACACCCAGTGCAACATAGTGACAACATGGAGTCAGCACGTTTAGCACTCATCCACACTTCATGCAGTTCTGTACATTCATTTTAAAGTACTGTCTATAAATGAATCACTAATTAATAAGGTCACAGTTCTAAAATGCCACACAATGTATTGACAGCTAAAAGTTCAATTGTATAAATTTATATGAAGTAACATTAGAAAGATAGATGTTGGACAAATAATTATTTCTGTAGTGCAATGCATTAATCTTATTACACACAAAATATATATATATATATATATATATATATATATATATATATATATATATATATATATATATATATATATATGTAATGTTCTTTTGTTAATAAATTATAACAAAAAAGCACAGACACTTGCATGCAAGTAAAAATGAACATTTATTTACAAAATCTTAGCTACATTCACCATGGGGAAATTGGAAGAACAAAGAAAAGTATTGAAAAGGAACAGCTGTGACAGATGTCAGTGTGATGGCTTCCCTTGAAATTTTTTTAAAAATAAATAAAATATGTTGTTCATCAAACGTCACAAAGTTTAAAATTTCTGGAAATTTTTTATGTCACAACTTTGGTTAGAAAGTTCAAATCCAGCAGTTCACTTCAAACCCTACCTGATTTTTGGTCTTTCAAACACTGGGCAATATTGTTTAAAAAAATATCATTTCCCAAAGGGGTCAGATGAACTAGATCAGGCAAAAAATGTCCAGGATGTCTACGCTTTATCTGACGATGATGAACAATGGCTCCATCAATACATGAGATGAAGGAAGCCATCACACTGTTAATGAAGCGCCGTGCTTTCTCAATTTTTTGAGGTTGTGCAGATCTCCACAGGTTTCTCTGAGTTATTGTAGAGAATATTATTTTTATCTCTGGATACTTCCTGTGGAGGTCTTGCAAGTCCTGCTTTATTCTTGCGGCAAGATGGATACTCTTGGTTTTTCCAAGATCGTTTCCGCCACAGTGAACCAAGAGAATGTCTGGCACAGCTCTTCCTTGGAGGCACTGTTCAAAGTACGGGAGGACGTTTCTCCAAATCATCCCTCCCCTACCAAACCACTGGATGAGGGCATTTAGTCCCAGGTTTCTCCCAGTCATCTCTCTCGCTCTTTTTTTCCCCACGGTGAATGTAGCTGTCTCCCACAATGTATATTCTTGGTCCTGTTGATTGTAAATTAATAATTAAAAAAACAATAATAAAAACTTTTTTCATTTTTAAAGGAAACTTGTTTATTGTGTGTTGCTTACATCAAATGTTTTTTTGTTTTTTTTTACATTTTATAAAGCCATCCTATGCTGTATGTCAGAATTACTCAAAGTAGCCCTAAAAAACTGGTTGTGACATTAAAAATAATTTACCAAAAGCCAGATTGTATTAACAGTAATTTAAGCAGTTATTGTATTTATTACTTCTTGTTTTAACTGTTAGTTGGCAAAGGTAGTACTAAAGACCAAATGTTATTTATTAAGTAGTTATAATATTTTATTTATTTACTTTTGGAAAAGTCAATCTATTTTTGCTGCAAATTAAGCACAGGAGAATAAATAATAAACAATTCTTTACCATGCACTGATTTTAGCACACTGTAAAAACGCCAACTTTCAAAAAGTCCTCTGAACAAAGATTAATAAGTTAACTGAATTTAAATATCTTCATTTGAAATGCTGACAAATAATAGTTAGTTTGTTCAACAAATATGGTGCTTCAATGTGAAAAACTTAAAATATTTCGTTGAACTAATACAAAATTCTTAGTTTTGCGTTGATGCGTGCCCTTCTTGTTGGCGCATGCGCCTTATAAGCTTCTGGCGCATGCACAATTTACTTCCATAGCTCACTGCAGGGGGTACCTGTCACGTGCGCGCGACAAAACGAACCATCTTTCTTTCTGCGGAGCTACGTGTCAATCGTTTTCATAATCGATTGTATATAATTGTATACATGTTTTTTGTGCGATGTGCTACCCATCTGACTGCCCGATCTATTTTACCAGTGTATTAATGATGTGAGAGACCGTGATAGAGCGGTTAAGAGCAGGCCAACGACGTTTCTGCTAAATCATAGTAGTGATGGTGAAATGAAGCTTTCTGAACCAGTGAAGCGCTCGACTCAATTGTATCGGAAAAAGGTTCGTTACTCGAAGCTTTCTAAATCAGAGCTCAATGAGGACCTCTTCTGGTGAAAGTGTGGGAAAGCACTGTGTTGTCATAATGTCAAATGTTCACAACTGACCAACTCATTCATGTAGTAATACAAAAACAGCAATATAAACAAATTACTCAATTACTGTAGTTTTTACACAAGATATATTACATTACACAACTGATGATTGTAGTAAAATCCAAGGTATTCAAAAGTTTATCATAATACAATTAGTCCCACTCCAAGCAGGGATCGAACCAGGGATTCTTGATTGGGAGGCGAGTGCTCTAGGAGGACGTTATATGAACGATGCTTCAAGGTTGCATTCACCAGATGCTCTCTGTCAAACACAATACTACGATATGAGGTGGTTTTCTTTAAAGATAGTCATAAAAAAAATACGCTAATACACTTTAGTATTGTTCAAAACCTTTCAAAACCTTTAGTCTGTCAAACACAAAAGCATGAATTTCATGCTCAGGTAATACAGTCCAATAAAACGTGATTGCAACAATTTAATTGTCCAGCCCTTTTGCATTAATTTTAATTGTGTCAAGTTGTGTTTTGATTGTGAGATGGAAGTAAGATAAATAACAGATGTTTTACTTGTTTTGAGTGACCATTTCAAATGAATACATTCAAAGAGGAAAATAGAAAATAATAGCTGTAGTTTTTAACTCAAAGTAATTGTCACATGAAACTAAACATTTTTCTAAATTTGCCAACACAACCATTATCAAATTCCATTGTATGGAAACCACAAAATTCTTTTTTAAAAATAAAGCCATGTGTTTTTTCAACAGCATGAATAAAATACTATGCTCATTTAAATGTACTAAGTACATTTTTACTTACAAAACAATAAGATTGTAAAACACCCTTTGTAAATGACTTTCCTTTAGGTCACTGATATTGTCACAGATCGAGAAAGAGCAGCTCTTGAGGGATTGCCAATTTTTCTTCGTAAAAATTCTGCTTGCTTTCTCAAGATATGTCTGGTAAGTTACCCATTTTCATACCCTATTCTACATTTATTAGTCTGCTTGGTAACACTTATAATAGCTGCATGCTATAAATAATTTATTTAGTATTAGCGAATAGTTAATTTATTTTCTGTTAAGCATAACTCTACATGAAGTGCTCAATGATTGTATTTTTTTAACTTTAATGATTCATTTATATTACTAATTTAAGTATTGCATTATTTACAAACCAGTTATTTAAGAATACTTGGTGTTTTTAAGATCATTCAGAATGCTTAAGTACACGATTAATAAACTATTCAAATTAACATTTAAATATCCTAATATTAAGGTATGTAATAATAGTTACTTTGTATGTTAGTATATGCTTTATGAGCTTAACTTCATCCAGTTGTGACCTAATCTAAAGTGAGGACTATTTATGCTTTATAAATCCCTTATGAATGACAATTAAAGGCTCAGTTATATTCTAAACAGGACAATAAACAACTTTCACAATTGAAACTGTATCAAATAAAAGTAAATCTTTGCAATTTTATGTAAAATAAAAGTTTAAAAAATTGCTAAATATTAAAAAGTTGTCAATATATTGTTCAATTATTATATATTATAGACTATTCAAAGTGTTACTGTTTGTATGTACGAAAGTATTACATGTTTTTATTTTCTTTGCATAATAGTAATAACATTAATAAGTAGTAATTAATATTACACATCAATTAATTTTCCCATTACTTAATCTCCTATAAGGACACGGACCCTGAAGACCACAGCACCAGAGATTAAAGGATTGGAATCTTCACTGTGGTGGAAGATGATAATGGCACTTCTGCATCCCTGCAATATGTGATGAACCTCGCTAAAATCTTGGAGGAGGCCATAGTACTTCAGGATATCACACATCTGCCTGCAGCCTTCGCTTACTTGTTCAGCCTCTTGTATAGTCTGAATATGGAACACCCAAAAGAACTCAAATATAATTTTCAAGTGATTCAGCATGTTTTATGGAGGTCGGTGGCACATGATCTGCGAGAGTTCAGTTCATTCATTCATTCATTTTCTTTTCGGCTTAGTCCCTTTATTAATCTGGGGTCGCCACAGCGCAATGAACTTGTTTTACGCAGCGGATGCCCTTCCGGCTGCAACCCATCTCTGGAAAACATCCATACACACTCATTCACACATACACTATGGACAATTTTAGCCTACCCAGTTCACCTGTGCCACACGTCTTTGGACTGTGGAGGAAACCGGAGAACCCAAAGGAAACCCACGTGAACGCAGGGAGAACATTCAAACTCCACACAGTAACGGCAACTGACCCAGCTGAGACTCGAACCAGCGACCTTGGTGGGAGGCGAAAGCACTTCCTACTGTGCCACTGTTTGAATGTTTTGAGGTCTGTTTTTGGACTTGATGTACTTTGTTGACAAAAGTGCAGTACACTTTAAAGACTGTTTGAATGGAGTGGCTTTTAGGGTTTACTCTGATTAGATGATTGTATATTCACCTGGTTTGAGTGTTTAGACACACTAATAGCTTGGTTTTAGTAAGGTTGCCAGTTATTTTATGTTGAGGCAGTGTACAATCTTTTCAAATCTGGAAACATTCAGTACTAGTTGTGTACAAACTAGCCCAATGCTGAACACGGCTAATGTTAAATGCTGATTTTGTATGCAAATGTTTTGGATTGTGATTTGAACACAGTTAAAAATAAAAAAGTGAATTGACTATTCTTGTGTATTTAATTTGAATCCTAAAAATTAATAGTAAATGCATAATGAATAAGTTTGTTTTATTTTGTTCAGTAAACTAAAAAAATCTTGTTGGGTAAACATGATCATTTTTGTTCAGTAAACAAAAGATCTTGTTGAATAAACGTGAAAATTTTTGTTCAGCAAACAAAAGATCCTGTTGAGTAAACATGATCATTTTTGTTCAGTAAACAAAAGATCTTGTTGAACAAACGTGAAAATTTTTGTTCAGCAAACAAAAGATCTTGTTGAGTAAACATGATCATTTTTGTTCAGTAAACAAAAGATCTTGTTGAATAAATGTGAAAATTTTTGTTCAGGAAACAAAAGATCTTGTTGAGTAAACATGATCATTTTTGTTCAGTAAACAAAAGATCTTGTTGAATAAACGTGAAAATTTTTGTTCAGCAAACAAAAGATCCTGTTGAGTAAACATGATCATTTTTGTTCAGTAAACAAAAGATCTTGTTGAACAAACGTGAAAATTTTTGTTTAGCAAACAAAAGATCTTGTTGAGTAAACATGATCATTTTTGTTCAGTAAACAAAAGATCTTGTTGAATAAACGTGAAAATTTTTGTTCAGCAAACAAAAAATCTTGTTGAGTAAACATGATAATATTTGTTCAGCAAACAAAAATATGTTGTTGGTTAAACAAGGAATTCAACAAAATATTTTAAGTCGACTTAGTTAACTCAAAAAGCTGTGTGTGATCAGTTGCCTTATTATTTTAAGTTTATTCAACTTTTTTTTTAAAGTGCACTGTTTTTATTTTCAACTTTATTTTGAAATGATCAATTAGAATATCTCTGTCATACATTAAGCACTGAAAATCTCCAGGATTCAAGGGCCTTGTAAAGGTAAGGCAGCATAAAACATTTTGCTGAGCAGTTTTTAATCTATATTGGGCATATACCACATGAAAAATACTATAATAACTTATAGTAAATAAATACTATAGTGTTTTTGAACCGTTTCAGTAGTAAGGTGCATTGTACTTAAATAAATTAGCGCACCAGGATACTGTAGTATTAACTTACTGTAGTATTAACTATAGTGAACTGATAAATACTGTAGTATTATTTAGTTTTGACAACACTAATCTGGTGTGTTGTAGTATGCTATAATAAATGCACTTATTGTAAAATCACTGATTAAATCATTTATTGAACATTCCAAATACAGCTATGGCTGAATCCGGACAAACTGAAAATGACAGGTACAAACACGCAAAAATTACAATTATTATTATTTTATTACATTATGTAATTATTACAATTAACTTATTTCATTATTCCTTTATACTTACGTTTGGCCTCAGTGGTGGCTGTGACGGCTGCTGATGTCATTTCTGATTCTAAACTGAAGATAAGATTTAAAGCAAAGGTTAATTTAAATATATAATTGTTTGAGAAAAACAATTGCTCGTTATAAACTATGATGCTAACTTTGTTAAAACAACACTAACGTTATTTACACTATAAATAATTATGAAAACCATATGTCACTACTGTTAACTAACGTATAATAATAATAATATAATAATAATAATATAATAATATATGTAATAATTATTATTTAATAATAATATTATCATTGTGTGTTCTTAAATTTTAGTTGTTATCTGTATTAGATTTACACTGTAAAAAAAAAGTTGAATAAACTTAAAATAATAAGGCAACCTATCACACACAGCTTTTTGAGTTAACTAAGTCGACTTAAAATATTTTGTTGAATTCCTTGTTTAACCAACAACATATTTTTGTTTGCTGAACAAAAATGATCATGTTTACTCAACAAGATCTTTTGTTTGCTGAACAAAAATTTTCACGTTTATTCAACAAGATCTTTTGTTTACTGAACAAAAATGATCATGTTTACTCAACAAGATCTTTTGTTTGCTGAACAAAAATTTTCACGTTTATTCAACAAGATCTTTTGTTTACTGAACAAAAATGATCATGTTTACTCAACAAGATCTTTTGTTTGCTGAACAAAAATTTTCACGTTTATTCAACAAGATCTTTTGTTTACTGAACAAAAATGATCATGTTTACTCAACAAGATCTTTTGTTTGCTGAACAAAAATTTTCACGTTTATTCAACAAGATCTTTTGTTTACTGAACAAAAATGATCATGTTTACTCAACAAGATTTTTTTAGTTTACTGAACAAAATAAAACAAACTGATTCATTATGCATTTACTATTAATTTTTAGGATTCAAATTAAATACACAAGAATAGTCAATTCACTTTTTTTATTTTTAACTGTGTTCAAATCACAATCCAAAACATTTGCATACAAAATCAGCATTTGACATTAGCCGTGTTCAGCATTGGGCTAGTTTGTACACAACTAGTACTGAATGTTTCCAGATTTGAAAAGATTGTACACTGCCTCAACATAAAATAACTGGCAACCTTACTAAAACCAAGCTATTAGTGTGTCTAAACACTCAAACCAGGTGAATATACAATCATCTAATCAGAGTAAACCCTAAAAGCCACTCCATTCAGTCTTTAAAGTGTACTGCACTTTTGTCAACAAAGTACATCAAGTCCAAAAACAGACCTCAAAACATTCAAACAGTGGCACAGTAGGAAGTGCTTTCGCCTCCCACCAAGGTCGCTGGTTCGAGTCTCAGCTGGGTCAGTTGCCGTTACTGTGTGGAGTTTGAATGTTCTCCCTGCGTTCACGTGGGTTTCCTTTGGGTTCTCCGGTTTACCTCACAGTCCAAAGACGTGTGGCACAGGTGAATTGGGTAGGCTAAAATTGTCCGTAGTGTATGTGTGAATGAGTGTGTATGGATGTTTTCCAGAAATGGGTTGCAGCCGGAAGGGCATCCGCTGCGTAAAACAAGTTCATTGCGCTGTGGCGACCCCAGATTAATAAAGGGACTAAGCCGAAAAGAAAATGAATGAATGAATGAACTGAACTCTCGCAGATCATGTGCCACCGACCTCCATAAAACATGCTGAATCACTTAAAAATTATATTTGAGTTCTTTTGGGTGTTCCATATTCAGTCTATACAAGAGGCTGAACAAGTAAGCGAAGGCTGCAGGCAGATGTGTGATATCCTGAAGTACTATGGCCTCCTCCAAGATTTTAGCGAGGTTCATCACATATTGCAGGGATGCAGAAGTGCCATTATCATC